TTACGGCCTGCTTTTATTTGACTTACACAGTACGTGACAAGGCTGCGTTTGACCAACTGCGCGTATCATTTCCCGCCGGTGTCTTCTTACCACTGTGGGTTGCAGCAGTGCCCTCGACTGTTTACATTGGTTGGTACGGCCTTATGGATTTACCAGCAGGCATTGACATTGACACTGCGGTATTTACTGAGCCACGCGGTTGAATTCTCGTGAGATCCGCTAGCCAAACGGCCACGTTGTTCTGGATCAGAGATTGTTACGATTTCATTTTGTCAATATTAGAATGACTCAGTAAGTCAGTCTGCAGAGTCAGGAATATGATGAAGCCCACCGCCACACATACCCCATGGTTGTGCTGCAGAGATTATAAGATTAAACAATTGAGACTTAAGTCACATCAAAAGTGATTTCTTTCCCCCAAATGAGCAATGAGGTATGTGTGCTCATCTCCCGTTTACAGTCCTAAGAAAGCGATAGAAATCCCACATTCCTATGGCAGGGATGAGCTCGTGGACAGGACAACCAACTGTTGAGACTTCCCTACAAAGTGGTACTCACAATTTTCCCTCTGCATTCGCGAAGGGATATGTTCTGGTGATGCTCGTGAATAGCAAATTTCGCAGATAATGATATTTGCCTACGCGAACCTATTGTTTTCATTAATTACCGTTAAAAAAATACGTAAATAAATACGTAAATAAGCTATTAAATACATGAACATGATCTCATTAATGTATCTCATCGTTTTATCTTATCACTTTCTCTCTCATCACTTTCTCTCTCCCAATCTCTCTCGGCGCAGTCCTGTAGAGTTCCAGATGTGGTTCGCGGATGGCCAAAATCGCGGATAGCAAGTTCGTCAATAACGAGGGAATGCTGCACACCATCAACACCGAAGCGACGAATGGGACTGAGGCAACCAACCACATGCCAGGGCTCAACCGGAAACCGTTCCAATTGCGAATCTCGCGTTTTTTTTTCCTACCGCAGAGTAATCCCGCGGACAAACACTCCGGAGGACTTTACAACGATAGCGAGAGGATTCAGAGAGAGAAAACACTTGGGGGTGCATTACACATTGGAATATGTGCTTATCATGTATCTGGAGAGAGAGAGAAAAAAAATGACATTAGGGCGATGTTAATAATAATTTTGCAATGTGTTTTGCAGTAAACTTTGGATTGGCGTTCACAACACGACGATGCATTTATCTGGTTCATGTGACCTCCATTATGAGCAATTATAGTTGAGGATTCTGCTTGCTAATGGATCATAAAACGCATTTTCAAGAGCGATCATAAACACCAGCATTTATCAAAGGCCGTTAACCCAGTGGTGGTGGTGAGGCTTATTTATAGCACCAACATGCGTGTGAAGTCATCTATCGCACACTTTTGGGAATAATTCCAAATAATTGTCCTTATTTTTGCGGGTGTACCGAACGCACGCAAGTCACCCCGATTCTACTTATTTAAATTGTAGCCTGGGGCTTATTGTCTTAAACACAGCATGGCTCCTTGTTACGCTGTTCATAACAAAAGGTGAACATGAAGGTTAATAATATGTTTGTTTACATTAATTTAAATGCCTTCTGTGAAGGTTTAATGTTCTGCAAGCAATATGTGTGTTCATTATATATTAACTTTGCGTGCCGATCACATTACACGAGGTTAAAAAATAACATTCATGTTTATTTTACCCATAACTATTTATCATTCCAATATTTTGTGTGCTATGCACAGTCATAAATACTGGACCAAAGGCTACGTTGCATGAATACTTTAAATTGGCATTAGATGAAATAAACTGGGACCTATTTCTTAAATAAAAGGAACCTTGTCCATAAACGTTGGGGAGTTCACTAGCATTGGTTCAAGCAAGCCTGGCACTGCTGATGAGACTTTGAATGCCAAAACCGGTCCTAAGTGTTTTGTGTTGAACGCGTGCTGCTTCTAAGAGGCACTCCCAAGAGGCTCTGCAGCTGATGGTTTGTTTACAACAAATATTTTACTTGGAAATACAGATGTGGGAAGTAATAAAGCATTACAATAATTTCAGAATCAACAACATATTCTTTCTGTTTTAGGCAGTCATAAATACTGGATCAGAAGCTGCATCGTTTTGAAAGCCTTACCACCAGCAGTAGATTGAGAATGCTATGTCTGTCACGATACCAGGGATCTACAAATAAACCCTGGCAAAAATACAAGTGCTTGTTGGCTTTGCGTTTGGCATTTGAATAGAGAGTCACGGCAAATATAAAGCAACTCACCGGCAGAAAGACAGAACAGTTAAAAATTAATAGCAGGTCTGTTTCCTCTTTCACTTCACAATGAATAAATAATAGCAGGGGCCAAGATATCTGCAATTGCTAAGCCGCTAGCTTTCGCAGCTCGAAAGGGGCATACTGACCATCTGTTATAAAAAAAAAAATCTGCAGACACTTCCAAAGAGCGAATACGGCTAATGTGGTACACGCTAAAGTGCAGTCGGCATAACGTGTTTTGAGACATACCATGTTTTAACATTGCACATTAACTATAAAGTGGGAAGGTGGTGCAGAGTGGACTTGGTGACACCTAATTGTCACCGACACTAAATCCTGAAACATTGACTGCCAGCCAATGAATAACCGAGCCACGGATTTCTTTTTTTTCTTAGCGACATCATTTGTGTTGTCAATAAAATGTTTTTACGATGAATATCAAACGGTACGGTGGGAAAACTATGGGGGGGGGGGGGGGGGGGGATTGCACCCAGCCAGCCAAGCAGGAATCTTGACGCTCCCAATGTTGGGAAGACCGACATCTCGTGGGGCCTCTACGTTTAATGGAGATAATATAATTATGTAATTATACAATCAAGTCAAGAAAGCTGTTGCGGCTTGGCTTCATAAGGATATCGCGACAGGAATTACATCTTCTTCCCCCCCCCTCTTGCTCAAGAGTGTGTGGAGAATCTGATTCCTGCCAGCGGGGGTTTCATCGGCAGACAAAACAAGAATTAGTATCGCCTGGCAGATTTCAGACCTCTCTCTCTCTCTCTTTCACAGTCATGCGGAATGAGAGCACATGCGAAGAGACGTGCTGCCGTAACATTGGGCTCGCCCCTGTCAGCATGCCGACTCGTGAGCAAAATGCTTTGGAGTACTCGACAAAGGGGAAAAAAAATCAATATAATAGCGGGTGCTTAGTGGAATTTCCAAAAATACACCATCCACAACTTGGCATTCTTGCTGACAGTTGTGTGTTGTGGTTTCTGTAGGGGGGGTAAAGAAATGCAAGTCCAGAAGATCGCCACTGAAGATTTATGTTGCGAGAGTATTACGCGATTTATTTATTTTTTACATGGCAATCTACGTGAAAATCCATCCAAACAGCGGCTTGATCGTAGCCTGCATTATCTATGCTGCTCACTGTCCTCTCACAGCCGCTTAACTTGCTGCTGAGACTGTTAAGGTTGCACACGCACACACACAACAACAATTAAAGACCATCTCTAAAAGGAACTCACATGGTAGGAAATAGCTCACAGGCTGGGAAGCTAACACAAGTTACGTAACAGCAAAAAGCAACTCGGTACTGCGCTTATTACACTCGAAAGATTATGAATAATTTGTATTCATCACGAGCTTATTAATATCTAAAGCAGTCGGTCCTAGGCACCCTCTTACCAACCTGCACTGACCAGAGAGACGAAATAGTGTATATGGCTCAACTATCCCCAGTATTGCGATGGAGCAGTGACACTGCAGTGTTAGCTTGCTGCCCTGTGAACCCAGGAACCTGAGTTAGATTCCCAGCCAGGGATAACATCGCTGGCCCGGGGCGCATCACACTTAACGCAACAGCATCGACCTGCATGGTGAAGTATGGTCAAACTGCCCCTTTCCCCATGACTGGCACAGGATGGGTGGGCCTTCATCCAGCAGTGGATTGACAAAGGACTGTATACTACATTTTGAATTATGAGTAGGTTTAAATGTCACGAGTTGGCATGCTGTCACATTCTTCAGCTAACCAAGCGGCGCTTATGCTCCTACTGTTAGATGTTTGCCATGTGCATGCATAGAGCGAGGCCAGCACACAACCCGAGTGAGTACGCAAATGCTCTTAGTAATGTACACAGCCACATTGGCAAAAGCTGTTCGGTTTACTTAATCGAGCCCAGATGTTCCTGCGTTTGATGGCAGCGCGGGTACATTGCCAAGCTGCACACTGTTCCTGCATGAGCAATATATCATAAAAATGTATTTGCAAAACAACAAAAAACTCAAACAGTTTATACGCTCGGACCGTCGTTTGTATTTGTAGGAATGCCGTTCATGTATTGTGACTCGCAATCATTTACTGGAAATAACTTATGGAAAGGGTTAGGAGATATATATAAATAGATTGCCTGTAAACTATTTTCAAGTAAGGGAAATATACTTGAAATCTGAGTAGGCATTCAAACAGCACTGAACATCAAAACACAGCTCACATTTCCGGCTTGGCTTTAATCTTATTTACAAATGGTATGGCAAGGGAGGGACACACGGGTCTGTAACATAGCAATGAGTTTAATGTGGAGAAGGGGCTTTCGCCTGATGATGCTAGATGTAATTACTTGCGAAACGTGGTGCTCCATTTTTAAATGTCGTGGGTTTACTCTCCAACACTCGGGTGTGCTGAAACTAGTAACGAATTTGTTTACGGAACAAACCTTACTAATTGGCTGTGTCGGGTGGTGGTGGGTTTAACGAAACGTTTATATTTGCGCGATATTACCCAAAAACCTATATTATGGATAACATAGCAATGGTTATGTACAGCAACACGGGTACTGTAGCATATTCCTGAGATGCACGCTTTTCCACTGAACAATCCGCTCATAATCAGATTTCGGCCCCATCATTTTCTCACGGAGCGTATTATTACGCAAGAGTATGCTTCGTATATATTAAAATCCGTGACGTGTAATAAATTCGTGCATATTAAAGCAATGCAAGGAAAACTCACCCAGCGCGTCTTGACAGCAGCTTCATCCACCATGTAGCGATGGCAGCGTAAATAACGTATCCAGGGAGCGTGGTCCTAGTTTGTGTTTTTAAGTCTGTATGCGCGAATCATATTAATGGATGTTATAGACTGTCAAAGACCACAGATCCCCCCCCACCCCACCCCATAGAGCCTTTATAGACCGTTGAGTTAAAGCGCTGTTAGCGAACACCTATTACGGCCCTGCAACACCACGCTCGCCCGGCCGCCTTTGTCTCCCCAGCGCTGATGTTCCACAAACGCGCGCACCACACAAGACACTCAGTAAGTGACGAGTCGACCTAGACGTTCCGGCACCAGAGCAGGTCCGGATTGTGATCACGGGCTACTACTGTTGTTCATAGCCGCGGCCGGGAATCGAACTCGGGATGCGTGCTGGTTGACGGCGCGGTCCGCTCACCGCTTGCTCCGCAACGCAAAATCATGCGCAGAGATCCCCACGTTACAGCCTTAAATAGACTTGTTGGGGCAAGTGAGGCTAGCGAAGCGCCTGTATCAAGCACCGTTCCCTACACAAGCAGAGACACAAACCCAGACAGACAGAGACACACGCGCTTGAGGCTGAGACAGCGAGAGAGAGAGAGACAGAGACACGGAGAGAAGAATGATCGCTGGGGAAAAAAGGCGCTTCCGAATCTCAGAGACAAGGCAAAGTGCTTCCTCCATTCAGCAGCAGCAGCACTCGGCTCGCGTCGCTACGGGAACGGATTTCAAGCTGAGCCACCCACCCCCTCCATCCTCATCTCCATCCTCCTCCCACGGTCCCCGCCTCCATCGCACCCCCAACCCCCCTGCGTGTCAGATCCGCCTTCTAGCCGAGGCAACTTAAAGGGCAGGGGCGTGTGGGGCGCACGTGTGTGAGCGTGTGTGAGAGTGTGAGCGAGTGTGTGTGTGAATGTGTGAGTGAGTGTGCGCGCGAGCGTGTGAGTGAGTGTGCGCGTGAGTGTGTGAGTGAGTGTGTGAGAGTGTTAGTGCATGTGTGAGTGAGTGTGTGAGTGAGTGTGCGCGTGAGCGTGTGAGTGAGTGTGAGTGAGTGAGTGTGCGCGTGAGCGTGTGAGTGAGTGTGTGAGTGAGTGTGTGAGAGTGTTAGTGCGTGTGTGAGTGAGTGTGCGAGTGTGTGAGTGAGTGAGTGAGTGCCGGACTGGCAACTCTGTCGTGGACAGTGCTGTGGGGGGAGGTCCAATTCCGATTGGCTCCTCCCCTCGTGGCGTCTGTAACCACCACAGGGGCTAAACGGGGGCTCTGGACGGGTGCGAGGGGCTGGTAACCCCTCCACCTTCAATAAATTTACCACTAAACCACGTCTAAAATATCTAACTAATAAGCTTGTGCCGGAGACCCCGGGGGGACAAGCGTCTATCACGTCTCCTGGCCAAACCTCAATTGGTAGAGCCAGGAGATTGAATCTTTACCCTCGGGGCTCCTCCAGAAACAACGAAAAGCCACTACGTGTGGCCACGTGGAATGTTCGAACGCTCACTGCGGAGGAGAGGGTGCCACTCCTCTGTCAGGAGCTGGACCGGTACCGCCTGGATCTATGTGGCATTCAGGAGGTCCGGTGGACCGGTTCTGGCTCCTGCCACCATGAGGGGTGGACAGTCCTCTACTCTGGGCAGCAGACTGCCAAACAACAGGGTGTGGCTCTTCTTATGAACAAAAGAATGAAGGGGGCGTGGGAGCGTGGCGGTGAGGTGTGGGAAGCTGTAAGCCCCAGGCTACTTTGGGCTCGCCTTCCCATCAATCGGAGGCGAGGAGTGGTGGTCGTGGTTACTTATGCCCTCACCGAAGACGAACATTCGTGGAGGGATGCAGGCAAAGCCGATGAGTCAGATGCCTTCTATGACTTCCTGTAACAGGTGCTGGCTAAAGTGGCCCCTCGGGATAGAGTCATCTTGTTGGGTGACTTCAATGCCTGAGTGTGTCATGATGCTGGCACCTGGTCTGGAGCGATTGGAGGGCATGGGCCAGATCAGCTCAATAACAACGGTAGGAGGCTGCTAGATTTTTGTGCAGCCCATAGGCTTGTAATTACCAACACGCTGTTCCGGCATCGGCGCAACCACAAAACATCATGGATGCATGCCGGGTCCAAGCAATAACATCTGCTGGACTACATAGTGACGGACCAGCGGATGCGAGCCCATGTCCTTGACACCAGGACCTACCGTGGAGCTGATCTGCCCTCTGACCATCGACTTGTCATCTGTAAGATGCGCCTGCCATTTTTCCGCTCCGGTGGTGGGTGTACACCCAGGACCCCATTCCAACCTAAAGTGGCCTGGTCTCAGTTATCTGATGAAAGTTGCAAGCGAGAATTTCATCATCGCCTGCGGCTGGGGTTGGCATCGTCCCCCACTCCTCCTGATGTCGAGGGTAAATGGGCGAGGTTTAGGACTGTCACTCATGCAGCTGCATTGGCTGCTTTGGGTACGCGGTCCAGACCTCCCCAGACACCCTGGCTGAGAGAGAAGGTGTTCAGGATAGTTGAGGAAAAGCGACAGGCCCACTGTCATCGGCTACAGAATCCCACGTCAGAGAATGAGGAGATTTGCTGAGCATTTCTGTGAGGTCCTGGGGGAGGGAAAATCCCTCAGCCAGGGAAACATCGTGGCACAAAGTGAGGATGACCCTGCTGAGGCTGCGGTGCCTCAAATATTGGAAGAAGTCACCCTCTGTGAGTGGCTGGCTGAAGTGCCATCTGTTGAGGAATACTGAAGGAGATTCGGAGTCTGAGATCAGGAAAGGCAGCGGGCAGAGATGATCTCCCAAGCGAAATGCTGAGGGAGGGTAGCATTTGTGCACAGACTGCCCTATATGACATCATAACAACAGTCTGGAAAACTGGACGGGTTCTGCAGGATTGGAAGGATGCCTTGGTGGTCCCCCTCTTTAAGAAGGGGGACCGCACAGACTGTAACAACTACATGGGGCATCTCACTCCTCAGTGTGCCGGGAAAGGTCCTGGCAAGGATTATTCAACATCGCCTTGCCAGGCACGCTGAGGAGAGGCTTGCGGAGCCCCAATGCGGTTTCAGGAAAGGGCGGTCCTGCACAGATGCCATATTTTCTGTCTGTCTGCTACAGCAGAGGTGTAGGGAATTCCAGCAAGACCTACATCTCTGCTTTATTGACCTGGTCAAGGCCTATGATACTGTAGAGGTGTTAACTACGCGCTGTTGCGTAACCTGCATTGCCACCAGGGCATTGCAGCATTACCCCTGGGTACAACGGTTGGGGTCAGTCGAGGTGAAACGGATCGTGGCCAGGGTTTGGTACGAACCAATCAGACGGTTCCACGTGGGAATGTATGATTGGTTCTACCTGGCCACGAAGGAGTATAAGACAGGTGACCCAACGGACCTCAGGGAGTTCTCTCCCTGCACGAAGATAGAAGACTGGGCTGAAGCCTAGCTAGTACCCTGGACCAGCCTCCCAGCCCTTCTAAGGGCTAAGGCTCGGCATACCCAGTGGTCAGGACCCACCGGGCCAGCGGTGGGTCAGATAGCCTCCCCTAGGTCCTAGCCGGAGGACTAGGATAGCGGTAGACGTGTGAGTCCCGCCAAGTCCAGAGGTTGTACCTCCTTAGGTATAAAGGAGGTTAGCGGTAGATGTGTGAGTCCCGCCAGGTCCGGAGGCTGTACCTCCCTAGGGTGTCGGGTGAGGGGACCGAATATCCCTCTGTGTGTGTTAAGCGTTGTATAAGGAAATAATACAATAAACAGAGTGTGCCTCCTAAAGAAGTCTGGTCGTCCTTACAACACTACAATACCATCAGTAGGCCTGGGCTCTGGGTTGTTCTTCGTGCTTTTGGAGTACCTGACCCTCTGCTCACGATCATTAAAGACCTTCATGATGGTGAGCGGGCCCAGGTAAAACTACGTGGCCGGGAGTCAGAGCAATTCCCTGTACACCTTGGGGTGCGACAGGGATGTCCTCTGGCTCCCACATTATTTAACATCTATTTTGACCACGTAGTTCGTGAAGCCTTCGATAGCTGTACCAGGGGAATCTCCATATGGTACAGATATAATGTGAGGCTGATCAATGCCCGGGTGCGGTCAAGGGATGGCTCCCTATTGCTCAACCACGTTATGTATGCCAATGATTTGGTAATAGCTGCTCATTCAGAGGAGGAGTTGGAGATGCTGCTGCTGAGACTGGAGCGTGTCACTAAGAGATGGGGCCTTACCATCAGCCCCAACAAAATTAAGCACCTACCTGGGTATTTTGTACCATCGGACACTCCACCCCCACAACTCCCAATCGGTGATGGGGCAGTTGTGGAGAGAGTGGAGAGTTTGCCATACCTGGGCAGTGTGCTTATGACCGGCTCCAGTTTAACAGCAGAGGTCTCACTCCGAATCAGTCGAGTGGCAATATCTTTTCATCGGTTGCATAACGCTGTGTGGAAGCAACCTGGTCTGTCGCTCCGCACTATGCTTCAGGTCTTCTCGGCCACGGTCATTCTCTCCCTTCTCTACACTTGCGAAACGTGGACCCCCCTAATGGAACATCTTCGCCAGTTAGAAACATTTAGGCTAGCCTGCCTACGATCCATCCTGGGTTTAACCAGGCTGGATTGTGTGAGGAGCTCACAAATCCTTGAAAGATCTGGGCAAGGTCCCATCGGTGAGCTCCTCCGGCAGGCAAGGCTGCGTTGGCTGGGTCATGTAGCCCGCATGCCCAGCCACCGCATGCCGAAACAGCTTTTGTTCGGCTGGATCGAGGGGGCTAAACGGGCGCGGCATGGGCTAGAGAAGAGATGGAGTGATGTTGTACAGGAGGACGTGGAGCTGAGTGGACTTGCCGATGACTGGTACCAGCGGTGTCAAGATCGGCCTCTGTGGAGGAGGCTCGTGAAGGACGCTACTGGGCAGTTGGAGGTAGTCGCCCTCCAACAACAACGGAGTGAGTGTGTGTCCGAGTGTGAGTGTGCGATTGAGTGTGTGAGAGTGTGAGTGTGTGAGTGAGTGTGAGTGTGCGAGTGTGCGATTCAGTGTGTGAGAGTGCGTGTGAGTGTGTGAGTGAGTGTGTGAGTGTGCGTGTGAGTGTGTGAGTGAGTGTGTGAGTGTGCGAGTGAGTGTGTGTGTGAGTGAGTGTGCGTGTGAGTATTTGAGTGAGTGTGTGAGTGTGCGAGTGAGTGTGTGAGTGAGTGTTTGAGAGTGTGAGTGTGTGAGTGAGTGTGTGAGTGAGTATGTGAGTGTGCGTGTGTGAGAGTGTGTGTGAGTGTGCGTTTGAGTGTGTGAGTGAGTGTGTGAGCGAGTGTGTGAGAGTGTGAGTGAGTGTGTGAGTGTGCGTGTGAGTGTGTGAGTGTGTGTGAGTGTGTGAGTGTACGTGTGAGTGTGTGAGAGTGTGAGTGAGTGTGTGAGAGTGTGAGTGAGTGAGTGTGTGAGTGAGTGTGTGAGAGTGTATGTGAGTGTGCGTCTGAGTGTGTGTGAGTGTTTGAGTGAGTGTGAGTGAGTGTGTGAGTGTGCGTGTGAGTGAGTGCGTGTGAGTGTGTGAGTGTGTGTGAGTGTGTGAGTGTACGTGTGAGTGTGTGAGAGTGTGAGTGTGTGAGAGTGTGAGTGAGTGAGTGTGTGAGAGTGTGAGTGAGTGTGTGAGAGTGTATGTGAGTGTGCGTCTGAGTGTGTGTGAGTGTGTGAGTGAGTGTGTGAGTGTGAGTGAGTGTGAGTGAGTGTGTGTGAGTGTGTGAGTGAGTGTGTGAGTGTACGTGTGTGTGAGTGTGTGAGTGAGTGTGTGAGTGTGTGAGTGAGTGTGTGAGTGTACGTGTGTGTGAGTGAGTGTGTGTGAGTGTGTGAGTGAGTGTGTGAGTGAGTGCGTGTGAGTGTGTGAGTGAGTGTGTGAGTGTGTGAGTGAGTGTGTGAGTGTACGTGTGTGTGAGTGAGTGCGTGTGAGTGTGTGAGTGAGTGAGTGTGTGAGTGAGTGAG